TTTTTTTGCTGAATTTGAAGCCCTTCATGTTATTTGGAAAAAGCTTATGCTAAAAATGTGAAATTTCATTGGTTTCTATTTACTCGTCCGTCTTTGTTTTTGAAAACTCCCGTGCTCATATCTTTAAACCTCGCATTGTGAAACTTTCCAAGTGAACTCACGGAGCCTATCGTTACATAAGCTTCCCGACACTAAGATCCTTGTAAGCATCAAAATTTGTTTGAATTTCTGTGCAGCGAATTCACCCCTCCCCTCCCCCACTCACTTTTGGACTGTTTTAGGGTTAAAATTTTTCTTGTTTGCAACTTTTTTGGTTCTTCAATTTTTTCTTACATAACTGTGCCATTTGAGGCATACCTCATTTTATGCGTTGGCTGTATGTTTTGTAGGTAGTTTGGGCCTCACTTTCTGGAATGTGCATCTTGTCAAAGTTGAAGTTGAAGCATGTGTGCATTGAACGCCAGTGGGAAATACGGTTTGCACAAGAAACGTCAGAAACTATATGTAACCACGAATATAGTCGTTAGAAGCCTTGTTGATATAAAGGGGAAATCCAAATTTGGTTGAAATTTTGAAATATTTACTTTCTTCTATTCTTTTTTCAAGAGTTTTATAAGTAGTCCAAGTCGTTACTAGATGAAAAGGTGGCGTGACTCGCGGTCACCGAAAAAGAACCAGTCAAATCTCTAGTGATCCATTTAAAGGCACAATTCACGATAATTTTGAGGTACCCGTTTCATTCGAAAAGCTTAAGTATAGATTGGGAGTAACTCATCGGTAGTGAAGAAAGCGGGAGAATTCGTCAATTTCGAGAAAAAAAGGCTCCTCAAAAGTAGGGAAAATATAGGTTGGACGAGATTGCCATGACGGGAATAACACGGAAGGGGTACGGACGAGATTTCAATTATTGCAATTGCGCAAGGAGCTGACTACACCAAGCCAGAACTGTACAGAATTATCTCACTGTCGCTATAGGTCACGACAAGTTGTTTGAACTCCCTACATGGGTTCCCTTGTGATCGGTGCAATTTCTACAATGCCGGTGAAACTCGTCCGTGGATTCACACAGGCCAATCTTTGGGCCTTTGTAACTACCTTACTAGGTCGTTTTCCGACCTAATAGTGCTGGATATGGTATACGCGGGGCCTTTCATCCTGTGGTTGAATCTCAGAAACCAATAAGGTGTCGTCGCGATTCCGACGTAATTGACACTTCAGAGACCACCCAAGAAGCTTACTACAAAGTCCAGTCGGGAAGCCTTTGTACAAGTAGTGCTTCTGTCATCCTGAACGAGTCTGGTATATTAGCCGTCCCCGGAGAGATGGGGCCTGCGCAAATAGCGATGCGAGTTTTGGTCCTTGAGCCATGTTTATGTGGTGAAGCGCCACTTGCCAATTCATCAGCTTCTCCCTCAATTAAACTTCATAAAATATTTTCCAAATGATTGATTTCCTTATCCGGACAGTTTGCAATCTCGCAGGCATTTCACCGATCTCATTTTTACTTTAATTCATCCTTGCTTCTTATAGAAACAATTTTCAGCTGTGGGAAAATCAACCACGAACACACGAACAGTCCCAATCCGGCCGATACCACTAGATGATGCGTTGCACTTGTTGGCTGCCAGCTTTCTTCGAGGTGGTATAGGAGGATTCCTAAAAGGCAGCTCCAGTTACAGCTCAGCAACAGCTGGAGGCCAGAAAGATGTACGAGCTGGAATTGCTATGGTATGTTCTCAATGCAAATCTGTCGATTTCAATGCTGCCGTCACTCTTGCCTCTTGTGAAAAAGTTCGTGCTGAGCTGTCAAGAAGGACGCTCAGGAGCAGCTCCCCAGTAACTAACCGCTAAAGGGCTTGTTCCAAGTCTTTCACTTTCTCTGACGCTTTTCTTTCGTGTTTATTCATCTCGAATTACCATGCTTATACTCTTTGCACAACTTTTGCATTTACGGATTGGGCACTGTCAGCAACTGTTTGGTAGGGCTGGAGAAGAATTCTGGAAAATTGTTCCTGAAATTCTTGTGGGATAAATTTTGGCGCGAGTAATCTTTCTGTTATTTCCTGAGATGAAATGGATCTTTTAGGGCTATGTCGAACTCATGCGAGAAATGGGTGCAACGTGGTTGGAACGGAATTTGGCACCTATCTGCCGCCATCTGTTGGAAGTCGCCGCAAAGTGTGGCATTCTCGCATATACAAAGTGATTTTTTAAATTTTTTTCCCGTAGACTTCAGGAATGTTCTGTTGATAATCTGATAGATTTCCAAGATTTGATTAGTTATGTTATATCGTTGTATTATTAGTCGATTCTGAATCCTTTTTTCAGCTCTCCCGTGCAAGCGGCTGAAGCAATATTCCTTCGTCGATGTGTTTCGTATATTCTGCGAGCGACAGTGGGCACAATGCTGAGTGAACAGGCCCAAATCACAGCATGCAAATATCTCGGACAACTTTTGGCCGACTACATCAACTCATTCGGTGATTATTAGGAGTTCATTGATGATAACCCAACAATAAGCCAATGAATTCTTATTTTAAATTCATATTTTTATCGAATTTTCGGTTTTACGTTTGATTTTGTAGTGCACTCAACCTCATCACTTCAATATCTTGCTTTCAAGATTACTCGGTGGAACCAACTGTGGAGCGAATACTCGGCGCTGAGGCCTACGCCAGTGCTCAAGCGGCAGTTGTAGCCACGCTCGAACTGTCAAACCTTGTACGACAGATTGGAACTGCTGTGACACCGCTGTTTGTTGAAGCCTCAGGTCAGTTATTCCTGTTGGGAGAAGCTGGTTCTGTGAATCCTGTCGAATACGGTTGTGAGATAATGGTGAAAAACATAGGACCAGTCGAGAAAAAGAAAAATAAAATGTCAGTTTGAGATAACCGGGAACATGGGCTTTTAAAAAATTTCCTAGCGTCATCGTCAGTTTCGATCATCGAATTATGCTGAGCTGGGTTTATCGAATCGCTTTGAGCAAATTGTTATTTTTTTTTTGATAAAGAAAGAATGTTCAGTGTTTTTCCCCGTATTTTTTGGAACTATTTTGGACAGAAGTTACTTTTTGAGCAGGCCCCTTATAGCCCTGTACTGTCTGTATATCCATCTGATGCATAATTACGAAAAGCGCTCGTTTTTCTAGGGATCATGGAGCCGGTATTCGCATGCCTTCTCCATCCGATTTTGTCAGCTCGCACAGCTACGGCATGGTGTCTGCGATGTGTTACGATGGCAGTACCCAGCCAGCTCACTCCACTGATTGATCGATGCATTAGCAGGTGCGTATCAGTAGAAGTGTCTTGAGCGATCATTTTCATTTGCTGGAACTTTGTAGGCTGGAGCACATGAAATCATGCAGCGATGCCATTAGTGGATACTCGCTGGCCTTGGCTGCTCTCATTGCGGCTGCATCGGACTGTAAACTTGGAATTCCGCATGCGAAGCCGAAACAGGTTTGTCGGAAGGTTCAACCTTACAAGTTCCAACTGTTGAAAGTTATGGGTTTTAAGGTGTTGACTTGTGCTGAGGATATGCTGAAAACTGCAACTCAACAAAGTCGTCTTGCCGTGGCTAAAATTAGTGCTGGCTATATTCTTCTGAATGCTGTTGTCTCGATGGGTATGTTAACGCAATTTTTTCCCTGTCTTCTGCAGCTGTTTTCTTCAGCCTACCATTATCCGGATTTTTTTGTACAGGGTCCCCTATTGTGAAGGAAAACATGCCTCGAATCATCCAGCTTTGGCGTACTGCTTTCCCAAGAAGCACCAAGGAAGCTGAAGCTGAAAAAGGAAGAGGTCTGTTGGGAATGATTTAGATTTGAACGTTGCCAGTCTTTCCAAATTGATAAATGCAGTGAGGGGGATGCCATAGTAGAGATTGAATCGTGAAGTAAAAGGGGCGGGGCGTTCACGAATTTAGTTTTGGGATGAGGCGAGAGTCGATGGCGTCCAATGGTGGTGAGGGGGTAATTTGGTTGGACGTTCTGCAGCGAATGGTTGAATATAGGTTGAATGTTGGTGAGTACAAACCAACGGCTCGTGTAAGGGATTGACTATCGGACATCTTTTAGGGGATGCCTTCTCCTGGCAGTGTGCCCTGGAGCAGCGAGCTGGTGCGTTGGGAGTCATGCTAGCGGTGGCCAATCAGCGAGAACTAGCTGATGATGATGCGATCAAAGCGATGCTTCTTCCAGTGGAATGCGCCCTCGTGATGAGTTCACAGTAAGTTGATCTAGTCTTCTTTTTTCGAGTTTTTTTGCTGTAGGTTTTTACTGACGAATGAAATTCCAATTTGCTTTTTTCAAACGGTATTTTCCTTTTCAGAGTCGGAACACTGATCCGTTCGTATGGCACGAAAATGCGAGCCTTGATCAGCTGTGTACGTGTACGCGTCTACCAACTACTTATGCTACTACCACCCAAAAGTTATGAACGTGAGTTTTGGTTTTGAATCGCGGAGAGAATATTTCCTTCGCAGCATCAGCGTTCCAGTGCTTCCCGCTGTAAAGATTTTTGGGAAGTATTTTTTCCTGTGAAAGCTCTGGAATTTTTCTGATGAGGGTCCCTTACCTGTCAGTGTCCTAGGATTGTTTGTGTCATAAGTGAAAGGCATACATTAGCTTGGACAGACTGCTAAAGATTGATTACTAAACTAGCTTCTGCAAGCTCTTCAGGCAAGCTTTCGAAACCTATCACATACCTTCAGATATGTTCCATTCACTTTTGCGAGAGCTCGTCGCTGAAGTGACACTGTCGGATGATCAAGCCTCCCAAGTGATGTCTTCGATGGCTGGCGTTATGTGTTCCGGCGCTGAGCATACATTGCTGGCTCCTTGGAGTAATGGAGCTACTGATCAAGCGCTAGTCGAAGACCAGGTGGGCAAATATCTACTGAAATATTGGAGTTTGCTTTCAAGAATTTCTGGAAAATCAACTTGATGCCGTTTAGTTGCAAACACTGTCGCATTTGGGTAGCGGAGCCTTGGAGAATGATATCACTTGCTTGGTCAGGTAAGGGTGAATTTGAATTTTGTTAATACAAAGGAGATTTTTAGGATTTGCGACCGCAATTTATAGTAACAATTTCAGTGGATCAGCTAAGGACGTGCACAATCTCTGGCCAGAGCCTGACACCCCTCAAGTTGCATGCTTGGATGCTGCTATTCAAGCTTTTGGAAGGGTAGGAACATGGCTTACTTTCTTCATTCTTAGATTTCTCATTGCGAGTTCGAATCATAACTTTGAGTTCGAGAAGAAATCCAATCCTTTCATCTCATTAGCCTATAATGTGCTAATATGATGATTATAATACATTGTTATTGCAGGCCTTCCCAATGATACCTGAACGTCAGAAGCTTCAGATAATAGAGCATTTTGCGGAAGTGATAAAGAACTGTAAACAGGCTCAGCGGCAACAAGCGGTAAGTAGGGGAAGAGTACTTTAGAAACGAAAAAATCCCCTCCACCCACAGATTCAACCCGCAGAAAATGAAGCGAATGAGAATGAAGGAAATGAAACATTACGTTCGTTTTAGATCCTGGTCAATGTGCTGTGCGCCCTTGCTCTGGCATTCCGAGGGGTGACCGAATCAAGAGGTGGTGCCCGACTGGAGAGTGAACCACTGCGAAAAGCCAGTACGGCTCTTGTTGAATCGGCCCTAGAGACAGGTGCAACTCCACTGGTACGAGCAGTGGCGGCTGAAGCTTTGGGTCGTCTCTCGCAAGCTGTTGGGGATCCACAAGTGAGTCTTTTACATCCAGACATTGTTGAATAGTTGGGTTCATCAGTTTTTGCTCAACTTGTTTGTTCCAGTTCGTAGCTCTCCGAGCCCAGGCTTGTTTCGATAAGCTGCGAGTATTCCGCGACGGACGACGAGCAGGATATGCTCTAGCACTTGGATGCATACATCGGCACGTGGGCAGTCTGGGCAGTGGACAACATCTGCACACAGGTGTTTCCATTCTTTTCGCCCTAGCACGGGATCATAATGCGCCCTCTGTGCAGGTGAGTTGAACAAGGATCAAGTTAGTAGACATGGGCCCTGATCTAATCCTTTCCAGGCTTGGGCCATGGTGGCACTTTCCCTAATCGCAGAAACAGGCGGTGGCATGTTTCGGGGTTACGTGGAGTTGGCGCTTAGTGACTGCCTTACGTTGTTGCTCAACACCCAATCGGGCAATGTTGAGGTGGTCCAAGGCATCGGAAAATTGGTAGGTTTATGCAGGTATAGCAGAATAACCAATCAAGATTCTAATTTGCTCTTTGTCTTTACTCTAAAGTAGTGGTCGATGGTTTTTTTTAGCTGACAGCTTTGATGACATGCGTTGGTCCGGAGTTGGGATCTTGTGGTACAATAGAGGGTGTCCGTGCTTCGTTGTTGGCAGCGTGCGCAATACAGGTAGGCCATAAGTGCCGGTTGCTTTGCATTTTTTAAATCTTTTTGGAGCTGTTACTTATTGCTCCGATTCTTAAACTTGAAAATACCAAGATGTGATTGATTTTCGTATTCGTCCTCTGGAGCTTCCCTTGAGTGAGATTACAAAATTTATTATTTTTTTCACTCCACTTTTTTCTTCCTATCGATCTTCAACCTTTTGAGAGCTCTTCATCGAATTCTCATGTTATCGATTCTTTGCATTTCGTTTTGCAAGGGGTTTTTTTATAGCTTGCACATCCTGATCCTTTGATCAAATCAGAAGCCATTGGTGGACTGCAGCAAATGCATCTGTACGCTCCTCGATATGTAAACTTGGGCCATCTTGTCGTCGACATAGCAACGTGAGTGCCTCTATTCTTACAACTTTGCATTTTTCGAAGGTTACCAAGTTTTCTTCCCGTTTTTTCCTTGGGTGGTCTTCCAAGCGCAGGGGTAGGGAACGCCTTCGGTAGAATGTGGTCGAATTTAGGCGGTGTTTTACGGATTTTGTTGTTTTTCTTCTGCTCTAACTATATCCAGATTCACATCTATGAAAATTCATGGTTTTCAATCATTTCAATAGGAAAGCATCAAATTTCGGAGTCTATGGCATGAGGTGGTACAAAATTGCATTAATTTCTACCAAAATATTTGCTGTCTAGGTTCTTGACGAGTCAACATCTTTGCTTACGTAAGGCGTCGGTTTGCTGTCTTCGTCAACTTGTACAACGTGAAGCAAGAGAGGTATGCATTCAGTCTAAGAATTCCATTGTTTTGACCTTGTTCTCAGATGAAATAAAAAATCTGAAACTTGATTTTTTTTTTGGGTTTTGATTAATTTTGGTGTGAATTCTTCTCATTTCAGGTTCGAGAGCATGCACAAGTGTTGGTACCTCAGGGGGTCGTCGATGAGGGCAAGAAACTTCCACTTCCTGATACTGGATTAGAAGGAGCGCTTTTCGATATGCTTGACGTCGAGACAGACCCGACCTTGAGAGCGCATGTGCAGGTTGGAAACCTACTTCATTAGCGAGTTTATTTTTTTCACGATTTCGTCTTTAGGAAACTATAATATCGTTGGTACAAGCGACATGTAGTGAATTGCTAAATCAATGGTTACTGTTGTGTAAGGACATTCTGGCAACCTCTAGTGATAACACGAGGAGTACAATGGTCATCGGTGATGAGAAAACTGGAAAGGAAGGGGATGAGGATGAAGAGGTACGGTTGTCTGAGTGGTTTTCCTGTTTGATGAAAAACGAGTGTGCCAGTGACACTAGGTCCATCGAAACATCCGGAAGCCCTTATTTCTGTAGTGGCAGCCACAGACGGTTTCCTGTTTAAAATGCCACTTTTAAGGCATTCAGAGGCAGTATTCAAAACCAGTGCGTGGGCGGAATAGCCTACACCAGTGCATTCTCCACCCTGATTTATTGCTCCTCTTTCGTAAGCAGTTATCAATCATAAGGGGGCATTGGCTCATACGGGGCTGGTCAAATGTTCAGCGTGGGCGCTGTCTTTGATGTTACTTTTGTTAAAAATGGGTATGACAATCTTCAATGAATTTAGTGTTTGAATTTTTCTCTGGAATGGATTTACTTCTCGTTTTAGACTGATTACTACTGTTTTTTACAGAGCAATGACGACGACGATGCAACGCTGCAAGTTGGTGGACCGCGGTCCGATGTACCGGACAAGGGCAAAGTTCAGCCTCGTTGGCCTACGAGAGTGTTCGCCACACAGGTATTTCCACGCTGTCTTATCCATTCATGAACTCTTCAGAAGTCTGTTGATTTCATACAATTGGCTGCATTTAATGTCGACTTTAGCTAGTTTTCAT